GTCATATAGCACAGTGATTTCGCTCCACACAAGTATAGGTTTGTACGATGGCAACAAACAGGCTATGCCCATCCAGAGCAACGTATTGAAGGAGCAGACAAAATCTTCAGCTACGGACACAGGAACCATTAGCAAAATTACCTAGATGAATCGTCAGGTTTGCAACCTTTTTTATGCTAAAAGCAAACCACAAAAATACATCGTGTTCCAAGATCTGAATGCAAAGAAAAATAATGTGAATATAAAAACAACTGTCTATGCATACTGGCAGCCAGTATAGTACGCATAGTGGATAACGTGAGGGACTGGGGGATTCAGGAGACCCGGGTTCAAATTTTTGTTTGTCCATGTGAAGGGGGCTGATAATAAACCAATCCTTGAACATCTCATGTTGTTTGAAAACCCTACCAGGGTTGCCCTAGGTTGGAAGGAAATTCATGGCACATAAACAAACAAACGAGTATATGTATGAACGTACAGAACAGCATTATATGTATTTGCTGTTGCTTTTGTTTATGTTTTTAATAGTGTGGTATTTACTTGATCCTTCTCAATATCTGTATACTTACTATTTTTAACTTTTAAATATTGTCTTTTAATGGTGTCAGGAAAAGGTGGGGTAAACCTTATTTAAGTAACTCAATTATTCTATGATTCTCCTTTGATCTGGAGCTGGGGGTTAGACTTCACGGCCTTATAGGCCCCTTCCAACTTCATTATTTTAGGATTCTGTCGTTTGAATGAATGAATGAATGAATGAATGTTTTTTTTCTTTGTGCCTGGCCTAACCTAAAACAGCCTCTTGTGTTCTTCAACCCCTGAATTCTAGAAGAAGTGGAATTCCACCGGCAAGAGAACCAAACCCCTCATCTACTTCCTGCACCCTCTGCCCCGTGCCATGGCCCAGTGAAATGTATCCCTCTGCCTCCCCGTCACCCACTGACCTGTGTCGTCCATGATGGTGGCTTGGGCCGCCTGCCCGTACAGATCCACGACGGCATAGACGTTGGGCGGGACGTTCCATGCGGCTGGGCCCTGTGCCACCCCGTTCACAAAGAAGTGCAACGTCCCGTCCTCCTTGCGCACCACGCCCACCGTGTCACCCGCCTGAAGGAGCAGGGAAAGGAGAAATCAGAGGGGAAGGAGCGAACAGTGGGCCTGGCTCGGCTTCCAGAAGGGCCCTCCAAAACCTCGGCGTAGCACGAGAAGGGCGCACGAAGCCCCTTTCCCTCCGAGCTTGGACTGGTGACTTTTTTGAACGCTACCAGCCATGCTGCCTAAGGGATGCTGGAAGATACTGTCTAGCTGAGTCTCTGTTCCCCCATCCTCTGAGCCTGTGGGTGGCCTGAAAGGTGGCCCGCCCAGGCCTGGGCTTGCTCTGCTCTGCTCTGATGCCCATTCTCTCCAAAATGACCTGCACGGCTCTTCACCTCTGGCTGCCCACCGCCTTCTCCCACCACCTCCTCGCCGCCTTCCTCAAACACAGCGCCATCCATGCGGTGGGACCGCGTTTGAGCTGGTGGACCTTCGCCTCCCCTCCCTCCTCCAGCCACACGGTGGTTTGCCCATCGCTGCCCAGAGTGGCCAAGAAGGTCTCAGACTTGCCTTCAGACGGTCCAGGTTGTGGCCGTATTCGTCCAGGATGGTCGTTCCGTTGTGCATCACCCCGTTCCCAGTCATCATCCAGGTCCCTGGGGGTATAGGGGGAGGGAGGAGGGAAAGAGGCTGAGGATCTGGGCGGGGGTGAGGCTGGTGCATGGGTTCCAGACATGCACGCTAACCCAGCTCTCCTCCCGAGGAGCTGGACTGCAAATCACAGAATCTCCTAGATACGATGCCTGGAGGATTCTGGGAGTTCCAGTCCAGCACATGGGGAGGAGGCCTGATCCGGGAGACCTGACACACGAAG